TCATGTACACAAAGGCTAATCTGACTAGTGTGCCCCGATGATACAATGATGCAACTGAATTTTCAGTGGGGGGATGTGGCTCTGAGTTTTACCAAGATTGCATCAATCATCAATGACGTTTTCACTAACCTTCCCGGACCAGAGATGGCTGCTGCCATGTTGGATGAAAAGTTACTTGCAACAATTCTGCCTCTATGGCAAGGATGGCACTGTGACCAAGTCGCAACTCTGCTGATAAATATTAAGAGAATCTGCAGCTTGTTCCAAGCACAGGAGGTCGCAATTCAGAGCAGGGTTGGTGGCCCTGAAATTGCATTTGGACTCTGATGTTAAGAGGAAAGTTGTAAAATAGTGTTTGTTTTGTATAATCATTTTCCTAAATGCTCTGTTTCTCTGATACTAGCTAACCAATTTTAATAATTTTGGATAGGGGACTGGATTGGGTTTTTGTCCAATCAGTCCTCTGTCCTGTAGACCAAAATTATCACATGATTATATATATCCTTGTCAGCAATATGGCCGACAAGAAAAAAGTTATAAAAATGGTTCAGATTTTGTTTGGTATGTTATGTTATAAATTAATCATTTTTCCAAATTTTCTGTTTCTCTTTAATTTTTATTTGACCAACTGAATTTGATATTTTAGTAAATGGGGATAGGGTTGTTGGTGAGTAGGCATTCCACTGACAAGACAGGGTACACCTTTGGGATATACCAGCCAAACTCATAGAAAGGGATCTTTTGTCCAGATTTTGGGTCACATGGATGTTAAGCACAGAAAATGTACACTATCAATGTATATTTTTTTCAACAAAATAAACATTTAAATAATTAATTAATACTTTTCATTTCATAAAAATTACAGCAACCCAGGACTCAAAACTCTGAATCCAGGAAAAATCCAAAACAGCAACCCAGGTTGCAGCCTCCAACTTGGAGAATTTTGAATCAGTTGCAGGTGCCAACTTTGTACTGGAGAGCTATAACACAAAGCGATCATCACACAAATGCCAGCTATCATCAGCAATCAATACCCATATGGTGGCATACAACCTGGTCTTAGGGGATAGGAAAAGTTTTGTCCAAAGCCTTCCAACTTGTTCAAACCACTTTCACCTGTGGGAAAAAATTCCATGGTGCTGGATTGATGCTTTGCACGGAGTTTGCTTGCTGGTGATAGGAAATTTTAATTAAATCTGACACCTGCAATCAACATCAGATTTATTATTCATAAGGAACTACACAATGGGAAAATGGGAACTACAATTGATAATCAGGAAAAATAATTTATTTTGTGAACCCCAGAGATCTGAGTAGACACACATTGTTAAGAGTTTTGTTTATGCATGGCCTCGGTATCATTACTACCTGGATGATGCAATTGTTTGTTATGTCAATTATGATATCAAATGTATCGCATAATAATCATGAACATCATGAATATTTGATGGATGGAGGCATTCACATACAAGGAAATGATTAAATGGCTAAGTCATGTTTGTTTTATTAAAGACATATGATTAATCAGAATCTGATTATTCTTTAAAAAAAAAATCAAGGTATTAGCATACCGATAAGTTAATAATATTCTTAGTATTTTTATCATATAGTCTAAAAACCTATTAGTAAATGTTTAAAGTGCTGATATTTATCAGATATTCTTTTAAAATTAATCATATTTTTTAGTTAATTATTGGCTTAGTTTAATAAACCAATAGCTCTTTTGTATTGTAATTAAATTATTGGTTAAATATTTCTAAAGCTCTTTGTGCTAAAATAATATCATAATCTTGAGTAGTGGTTAGGTTTCTATTCAAATAAGGTTTACTCGAATAAAACAAACAATTTGAGTAAAAATAAAACGAATAAATCGAATAAATCGAATAAATCGAATAAAACGTACAGTCAGAACTCGTTAAGACAATGCTTTGATAAACCAAATATACACGATAAACCGATGTTATTTTATTATCTACCTATCAAATTTACCTCAATAAGCCGATTTTATTAAGGTTTTTTAAATTGAAGTTTTTTTTTTTTTTTGAAAATATTGACTTTGGTTCAACGAGCTCCGACTGTATTTAATGTTGCAAATTTTTTTGATACATCAATCTCAGTCCAAAATCAATCATGTTTATATACTTTAAAATTTATTTATTTATTTGTTTTAGTAGATTCAAATTTTTATTAAATCAAAATGGTACACTACAGCAAAATTTTCCGAGAACCCAAAGTGTATCAATTACACGAAAACACACTATTACAAAGTCACTTTTAAAGTACAGCAAATTCTTGTTCCTTATATACATGTTTAATTAATTAATATCACAGTATACATATGTACTTGTTTTACAGTGTCATCATCAATCAGGATTTTCATATAAAAAAAATTACAAAAATTACTTTCAATTCCAAAAAATGAACCACAATTTGATCTATATAGTGTCGAAGTACTAAAGAACAGCTCTATTTATGTGGTTATTAATTTTCATAACAATAAATAATTTTTTATAAATATAAACACAGAAAGAAGAAGATGAATATCAAGATCCGACTTATATTGAAGCAGATTCTAATGGGATACTATAAAAAAATAGTATTGCATATTTTATCTATTTCGCATTTTATTTGTCAATATAAATTATATCAATGCTTCATAATAATAATATTATTATATTTATATATTCCTTCGTACTGTATATAGGCTAAATTGTTTATAATGGCAATTGTGTAAACTCATGCATGTACCAATCTAATACACGACATATTAAAATGTTGTAATTCTAAACATTCTTCCAGTATTAGTATTTAATATTAAAAAAAAAAAAAATAATGAATTGGATTTTATTACACAAAAATCCTTGATTGGTGACACAGTAAAACGGGTATGCCAATAATAATAACACCAAAAAATGCGGCTTTCTTTATTTTTAGTATTCATTTAATTAATCGACAATTGTTTACCATTTTATGAATTACCTTTTAACAATTGAATTGATTATTGTTTTATTACTAAAACTCATTTTACGAATTATCATTTGTCCTGTTTTTTTTTTTTGTGGCGTTGAAGCATCTTCTTTACGTTTTCTACGTTTTCTCGTCAACAACAATAATATCGGTGATCTCTAAAAAAAACTCTACACTTTCAAAAAAGTCTTGGTTGGTTTCTTTTTTAACAATGACCAATTCCCGTTTGTTTTTTTTCAATTAATAATGGTACATCATCTTTGCTTTTTTTTCAAAAAGACTTTGTCAGTTTCTCATCAACAATAAGGAAATTAATTGGGGTGTCAAAATTAGGTGATGTAACATAATGCCGATCAATAACAAACTTTTTTTTAAAAAAAATCAAAATATATATAAAAACTATATAAAATAAAAATTGTATCAGAGCTTTCAACTAAAGAGACACAAACATGAAACTAAGGGAAATTATAGTAAATAGATCAAACTTTTAGTATATAGAGAGTTTTTTTTTATATATTGTAAAGAAATTGAAAAAAGTTTGCTAATAGAAAAACTTTATAACCAAATGAGATATGGCAAAAACTCTTATAGATTTATTATAGAAGATATAAGCAATACAATCATGTATGTAATACACGATACTAAAAAAATCCAATAATTTATTATATTGATGTAACATATGTTTGATGATCAACAGCCATGGAACACCACAATGAATTATCCTATTTCTTTTTACACTTTCAAAAAAGTCTTGGTCGATTTTTTTTAACAACTACCAATTCCCATTTTTATTATTCATGTAACAACTCTTTATTCTCAATGAATAAATATTATTATTATTATTATAATAATAATACGATTGATGCTCCGAATGAATATATATATATATAATAAGCGGTTAAGTTGTGTGATTTTATAATATTGTGACACCAAAAGAATATCATTGCTATGAAAGTTGGGCACTCTAACGTTGTATCGCTATAATTATGCGTGATTTCGTGGTTTGAATGTGCTCACAAACATCAAAGTTAAGTTGTCAAGACAATGGTCTATTTTATTAAATTAGAAACATGTAAATAGGACGGCCGTCCCCGCATTTTTCGTAGAGATATTTTGGGTTTACAATGAGATAATGTTAAGCTCACGTTGTAGTAATTTATTAGATTACTCGATAAATTTACCATTTGGCCACGAAATAGTCTTTTATTTAAAAATTGCATCATTGATCGTGAATACACAATAGGATACTAGGATGCTTCGCATCCAATGCTAATATTGATGCTCCGAACGAACATATATAAGTGAAATCAAAGAACATCATTGCTATTTTGGGATGGCTCTCACACATTTGATGTTTTTAGATGGATAGTGAGTTTTGTCGAAATACAGATTAGCATTATTATTACTGTTGCATCTCGGTTTAAAAACTTGTTATGGAAATTTTTATTTTATTTATTATTTTCCCGAGATAGTAATAGTAATAGTAATAGTACATCTTATTATATCGAATACACAAACTTCCTTTAAACATTTTTAATTAATAAAGATAAATTTCATTTGAGACAAAATTTTTTTCTACACCCTGAATTGAATGGTTTCAACTTTTATAATCCCGCTGCAGAAATATGGGGGCTTGGTTAGATTTGCATTCATATGTTGATCATTTGATTTTGATTTCCTTAATATTAATATTAATGAATCTCATGAATGCAATCACTAGGTTAGATTCGAGGCTTATATTTAATATTGCACAATTAATTCCTTTTAGAGATCTTAAGCGGAACATTCCAATTTTGACAAATTTTTGATGGTGTGCAACAAAAACTTCATAATATTTACAATAAATATTTAGGTAGTAGCACACAAAGAGCAAACTTTTATCAATATGACCGAATTAGTTGTTTGCACAACACGCGCGAAAAGAGTTCTTAAATAATGCTTGAACACGAAGAATACATGTTTATTTTTGTTTGCTTCGTGTACACAAAGATTTCTTGCCTCCCTTTTTTTTAGAAAAAAACTGACAGTTTGAAATGGGCTTTAATGTTGGTCAATTCTTTCGTAAAAGTGTTAGTATTTTATATAATTAATTAATTAGTGAATATTAATATAATAGATAGATAGATTAATTGAAAATTCAATGATAAACATCCAATTTATTTATTTATTAAATTATATAGTACGATAGAGTAACAGCTTCTAAATGGACAAAATTATTTGTTCTAGTGTCAATTCTACAACTTATTGTAATTGTTGCATTGGAGACAAATGTACTTACTCGTAATGTTAGATTTGTTAAAGTATTGATATCAAAACAGGATCCTGGAGCCTCCTGTGAATTAAAGCCTTCGATTAGTCGAATGCAACTTATTTTACAAGAAAATGTTGTTTTCATGATATTTCAAATATTTCAACTATGGTTCTGTGTAGATGCGGTAATTAATGATATGATTATTTAACGCGACGTGGTATAATATGATAATTGATGTGATAAATAATTTAATTATTATTAATAGATATGTAATGAAAATACGATACAAATAATAACAATAACGGTCATTAATTTTTTATGCTCACTTTATGGAATCGTAAGTATGATTATGATTATGATTATGATTATGATTATGATTATGATTATGATTATGATTATGATTATGATTATGATTATGATTATGA